GGAGGCCGCACCCGGGGGCGGGGGCTGCCGGGGAGACAGGGCCCTGCTGCCCGCAGAGAGGCACGCCGGCTGCCCTTGGGTCACCCTGACCGCCCCGGGGGAGGTGAAGCAGCAAAGCAGCCTTTCCTCCCTGCCAGTTTGCCAGGGCCGGCCTGAGCCCCCCTGCCCTGCCCTGCCACGGGTCTCGCTAACCGTTTCTCCCCGAGCGGTACCGACTTCCTCCCCGCGTGAGCGTTTCCCTGCTCGCCTCTCCAAGGATCACGCCTGCTACGTGATCACGTTGCTCTGTAACCCCCAATTCAGAGGGTTCTCCGCCAGGCTTCCCAAGCCCCTGTCCAATGTGGTTGCTTTAAGACACAGGAGGATTAGAGTACCTTATAGCAGTATTTAAGCAGTGCTTTTAAAAAGAAAGAAAGAAAAAAAACTTTGTGCATTTGGATACCCCCTTCCAGCTTTCCTCACCAGTATCATGCTTTAATTGTTGGCCTTGGTGCCACTACAGTATATTCAAATTAACTACAGTATATTCAAACTAACTGCTGTGTTTTCTAGAGTTGGAATCTTGCCCACACCAAAAAGCCCCAAAGCCCTTACTTTAAACATCATAGCATTTTTTACCTTACACTTGCTCTCGCATAGGCTATATGCAACTCTACAGTTGAGGGATCTGGCATACAAACACTAATGGATTTGGCAACAGCCCATACACAAGGTACTGCTTCACCCCCGAGTGTACATTGTCCTTTGGATAAGTCTTATCACCTTTTTGAAGAGGTTGCAGATGCAAGCGGGGTTACATGTCTCCACCTGAGCCTGACAGCTATTCCCTGGACATATCTTTACCTGCCACTACTGCAAGACACTAACCTGCAGACCAGAAAGGAGGAGATAACTGCTTTCCAGCAAGAGTCCATACATCAGAGCTAACAGCCACTCTATAACAACTCTTAACTGCGCAGCATGGCTTCTCTCAGTCATACTAGTTAATTCTAGATAACCCATGTCTACTGCAGAGACTTGAATTTAGCCTGAAAATCTGATCATAACTACTAAAGCATAATACAAAGAGAATATCTTTCAAATACGTCTCCATTTAAAGCAACCTGAGGTCTAGGCCATTTTCAGAGCAGGTAGGTAGAGACACATGTAGTACCTGAAAGTGAGCCCCTAGAAGTTTCTTTACTTTTCCAGTTACTTCTTCCACCTCTGGGGATTGGCAGGGACAATATCTGCACAGATGAAAATGGGATCTTGATCCTACCGAGTACAGGTACAGGGCACATAGCTGCTCATACATATTTAGGGATATACCCCCTTAACAGGGGGTAAGGAAGAAAGAAAGAATAGAGAATAACACTACTAGTACCCTAAGTGCTGTGAACATGGATTCAAAGGAAAAAAGAAATGCAAGTTTCCATAAAACGTGATTGAACTTTGACTTACTTGTCATGAAATAGTATGGTAACTGTCTTAATTTGCTGTATTTTTTTTAAATTAAAATGGGCATGGAAAAATTGTATTCAGTTTGATGAGTAGCTTTCTCTTGTTACATCTAAAAACCTATGTTTTTACTGAAAACACTTTTCCTTCCTGCTCATCCAATTTTACCATTTTTAATGAGAACTTTAAATGAGTGACTTTTCACTAGCTCAGTCCAAATATTAATTATTTACATTGATTTATTTTTTTTCCCTAGGATGACTCAGTGGTATCAGCTGCAGCAACTTGATTCCAAGTTTTTGGAGCAAGTTCACCAGCTGTATGATGACAGCTTTCCTATGGAAATTAGACAGTACCTAGCTCAGTGGCTGGAAAACCAAGACTGGTAAGCGTGAAGGACAGTGGTGATGTGCATAGAAACTGGCCTTCAGGTTACATGACAAGCAGTGCTCTCATGCGGAGTCACAGGCAGCAAAAAAGTTCTGGGGAAGCAAGCTGCTAGGTAGACCTATGCTGGCAAGGACGTTCAGTAGCTATATCTCTGCTAGTCCATGTTCCCGTCCCTCTTCAGGGCTTTCGAGAGGGGCCTGATGTTTAGACTAAGTATATTATCCTATTTTTCCTTTGGTTGGTCTGTCATGGAAGCAGCCATTTTAAGAAAGACCTGTTACCTTGGTGTCTTAGTCTCTCGCTAGTTGCTGGCTTTAAACATTTACCAAGATGTTTATGGAGCGTCGTCTTATAGGACTGTGGTACAACATGCACATGCATCAAGTTCACTTTAGGCTTCCTGATGTTCATGGAACGGGTAAATGAAGTTAAGACGGTACGTGGTGAGAATACTATAGAGGAAAAGACAGCATTTCTTTATCACAGAAAATGAGATTAGAAGGGAATGAAAGTGGGTTATCTTTACAAGTAATTCTTACTGCTTGCAAACTACAACTGGAGTCAGGGAGAAAAACATGTAGTACACCACTTTGTGTTTCTTGAGTACCTGCTGAAAGTGTATTTAACATAAGCATGCCTTAAATTATTCCAGGGAACATGCAGCCAACAACGTATCTTTTGCTACAGTGCTATTCCATGACCTGCTGTCACAGCTTGATGATCAGTTTAGTCGATTTTTGATAGAAAACAACTTCTTGCTGCAACACAACATAAGGAAAAGCAAACGTAATCTTCAGGTAGGCCTGGGACATATGCCTGTACATTTGCTTGAATTGTTTCAGTTTTACAATTGGATCCCTCTAAGACTACCTTGACATGAGGTATTTTTACACAGTATTTGTGAGAAACCTAATTTAAGAAGTCAGAATTTAAACATTACTCTGTTTTGGTTTTATTTGTCTACAGTTCAACTGTTTTTGAGATCTCTAGAAATAAAAAGTTAAGTTGTACTTTGTAAGGTATTTACTCTGTGTATTTGGCAGTGCTTCTACAAATGGAGTTTCATTTACCTTACCCCTTCCCAATCAGTATCCTCAGTATCCTAATAAATCTCTGAGGCAGCAGAAGAAACAGGGGGACACAGGGGAATAAATTCTTTCCATGTAACTATAGAATCGCAGTTGATAACAAAGGACCTGTGATGAGACACCACTTCTGTGGACCATATTGTACTGATAAAGAAAAGGACCAAAGCAGTTTGTGTAGAGCGTAGCACTGCAGAACACATCTGTAGTGGATTTCATTATTTTTCCTTAGCTGGTCTTCCCCTCCTCCCTGTTCTTTATAAGCTTGCAGAAGGAACTGCTGTAGGACTCTAGAGAATCTTTCACAGTCCCCTTTCCTGCAGCCTGTTCCCACACACCTGGTTTATCCTTACTGCAGATCACCACCGGGGACATGTTTTCTGGGGAGGGCAGGAGAACATGACCACACTGTGCTTATCTGATTATATACCAGCAATGACAGAGATCAGTCAAGAAGGCTGGGACAGCTCAGTGATTCCTGGGGCAGCAGCATCCTGGACAGGGCAGTACTCAGTCCAGAGCACACTTCAACCTTGTGTATGTAAAATGCATCTAGCCTTGACCCTGTTCATAAACAACAGCAGACCTTTCTCCTTCACATGCCTCAGCAAGGGCTGTACCTGTCAAACTAGAGCAATAACCCTTCAAATCCAGCAACTGCACCTCAAAGGAGTGGAGGGGTGGATGTCAGGAAAGGATGAGCTCTCCCTATGACTATGGTGTAGTATCTCCCTTCTCCCAAACGCAGTTCTTTCCATTTTGTGTGGAGTCCCATCTCTTTTTGTACTAATGAAGTAGACTAGCTGGCAAAGAAATGCATTATTTTAAACAGTGAGGGAATTGCAGCTGTTGCACTCCCTATAATCTTAGGGGACGCTATGACCAGTGCGTGCCCTTGAGGCTTAAGCAATAGTCACTTGCTAATCTTTTTGCCAGTCAGTTTGCTCGAGGACAAGAGATTCAAGGTATGCATGTTTAACAATAGACCGTCTCTAATGCCAGGATAACTTCCAAGAAGACCCAATACACATGGCAATGATCATCTACAACTGTCTGAAAGAGGAGAGGAAAATACTGAGCAACGCCCAGTTGTCAAATCAGGTAATTTAGTCTTATAATCGCTATTGCAGTTTTATCTGCTTCTTCTATTACTTGAGGCAAAGGGAGCGGGGAAAAAACACTGAAAGAAGCAGCAGGTCATTCTCCCTCTGCCCAACAACTCATCTTTTTAAAGACATGAATGTTATGAATGAATGAATATTAATATGCACCATTTGCACAATGTAGCATGTTTGAGCTGCTTGAGATATTTGAAGGGGAAAGAGGCAGGAAGTAAATTTTATTTATTTGAGCAATGTAAAATCTAAGCTGTTTTCCATGCTACTGTAGTATAGCTTGATATGCTCATCAGGTTTCTTACAGTTTAACAAGTAGGGCTTGCCTCATCTCTCCAAGATGATTTTAGCTTTTCCCTCTACATTTTACTCCCAAATTTACTCTATTGAGCAGCTGAGCCTTGGTACTTCTCTGGACTGTCTCTCTGGGTATTTCTCTCTCTCATTATTTCTTAAGTGAAGTCCATTTCTTTCCTCTGAACCATAGGTAAAGCCGTATTATTCTCTACCCTCCTGTGTTCTGAGGCTTCATCTTTTTGTTTTTCCCTCTATAAGGAAAACGGTTTTGCAATAAAAATCTGCAGTTGGGAAAGGTGTGCAATCTGTATAGCTAGATGTAATTCATTTGTGTAGTAATAACATAATGATTGGCCAAGCCCATTGAGTTTCAATACTGAAATACCTTCCTTTATGACAAATTTTGGCCACAGTTTGTAGAGAGTGGGGCGAGTACTTGGTAATGAGCTTAAAGGAGCTAACGCAACAGCATTCAAAATAGCTCCTTTAAAAAGTCATTCCCAGATGCTTTGCAGCTGCAGTACACCTTATTTCATTACATGACACAGAGCCCACACAACTGCCTTTTGAGCATGCCAGGTGTTCTGGGGGAAATCAAAAAGGGAAACTAATTCTTCTATACTGTGTACTTGTTGACGCTAGGTGCAATACCACATCCTACTTCTGCCTTTTAATAAAAGTTTCTAATTTTCCAAAGCTGAGAAGATAAAATGCAAAGCAAGCGTAACTATAAGCATCATAAAAACAAAGGATTGTCCCAAAGGTTAAAGTATGCTTAGATTGCTTTAATAGTCTTACTGAAATCTATGAAGAGGACCCTTTCCAGTTTGTATAAGCTAAGGTAATCTAAAGAATTTAAGTTAAAGAATTAATCAAAAACAACCCTTAGAAAAGCGTGCATACCAGATTGCCCTGAGTTTTTACACCAATTATATTGTTAAGTGCAGAGTGAAAAAATCTCGTCTTTCAAATTGCTGCAACTCTGTGTGATGTTATGCTATAAACTTCCTGAACGATAATGAAGTAAGTTTCCAAAGTCACCCTCTTTGCCTTTACACACACACCCCTCCCTTATTCTTAGCCTGTTTCTCCCTTTTTGCCCTTACCCTGTATGGGAGTGTCTTACATTTCATGTAGATGTGATTCAGCCTTCTCCAGCAAGCTTGCCTTTTCCCTAAAACGTGCTTTGAAATTACATGAAGATAGTCAAACAAAAGGAATTTGTGCAGAGAGTAAACAGAAATTTTCTTTAGCATCGTTATGATAGACAAGGAGCGTAACCACACAAATGGAATTTCTTGATCCCATGTTCTTTGCAAACTCACTTGAGCTCGATTATTTTATAATACAAAACTTTTATGAATCATTAGAACAAGCCATGCTTTATTAGCCTCTTTGTCAACAAAGCCACTTATCTGTGTTAGTGAGAAAAATATATATTTGCTGTCACTGTTCTCCCTGGTATGACTTTTGTTGTTGTTCTGTTTACCTCCCCCAGATGGAGGTCGGAAGCATACAGAACACCGTGATTGGGATGCTGGACAAACAGAAGGAGCTAGATGCGAAAGTTAAGGCTGTAAAAAACAGCGTTATAGTAAGTAAAGTCAGATTAGGACCATATTTAAAGTTGTGTTTGTCAATTCATAAGTGTTTAAAAGCTTTCAGTGTATAAAACTGACTTTAAATGGCAAGTAAAAGTAAAATTGAGATAACTGATTTTCAATTTTATCACTAGTGAACATTTGAAAATAGTAAGTAAGTATTTGTCAAAGCTCAGTAATACAGATTTTAGTGATAGGAAATAGTATTGTCTTTTAAAAATACTTCCTGGTGCTCAAGTTTTGGCAATGAAAACATTTCAGCCATCAGAAATACCAGCACTGAGGAAAAATTCTAAAAAGTTATATACTGACTTTTTTTGTTATTAACTACAAGCTAGATTTTCAGTTAGCGTATAGATAGTTACCGACTACAGAACAAATAAGGTAATGACTGAAAGCTTTTTCCAAGCAATACTTGAGCATATGGTAGTTTGTTTGAAATGCTAGCTAGTGGCCCAAATGTTGCCTTCCATAGCCTAAGTTCTCGTAAATTCTGTGAAGCTTGCATGGCTAGACTGTATAAGAGCTTTTCCATACTTCATTATGAACAGACTTTTGTTAGCAGAGAAGAGGGAGGGTGAATAGGAAGCAGTTAAGTTTGGAGGCGTTTCTTATTAAGGAGTTCCAGGAAAAGGTGTTACTGTAAAACCGGAATTCATCTGCGTAAATGGCTAATGCTAGGCAGTTCCTAACCAGCAAAAGTCTTGCATTATATGAAAATATTAAATAATTGTGGCCAACTTCATTCGTGCTTTATAGGATGTGGAGCAAGACATCAAGACATTAGAGGATGTGCAAGACGAATATGACTTTAAATGTAAAACTTTGCAGAACAGAGGTGAGAATTTTTACAGGACAAATCCTATTGCATGCAGTTGATAAGAGTAACCGTGCTGTCTTATATCAGGAAACTAAAATTAATGATATGCAGCCAATCTTACTGATCACATCCCTCCTTCATTAACTCTGTTTTATGCTGAAACTTAATTCCTGAAAGTGTTCTGTGTCTATTCTTATGAGAAGTAAGAGAGCCTATTTGTTAATAGCGTTCCTTTGCACTTTACATCCCTTTGCTGCTAGAAACAGCAAACCCATGGACTCCGTGATCGTTCAACCACACATCTAAATAGTTAAGTTTAGGCTTCTCTTTGCCATCTTGTGTTTCACACATGCCTTCCCACTTCAAGTTTTGTGAGTCCTCATCCACCAAGCTAAGCACATGCATCTAAACTCATCACTAGTTTCATTATGTAGATCTGTCTCTAAACACTTACTAGGCAAAGATAGAAAATACCTTTCTGTACCGACACTTTACGTGCTTCCTCTAAGCCAGGGAAACACACACGCATGCAATTTCAAATGCTGGGGAAGGCATTAGTTTGAAATAGTTAAAAGGCCCTACATTTCTTTCTCCAAAGGAATCTAATGCTGTGCCAAGTAAGTTAGTGGGATTTCTGGTGATACAGCTGAGGTTCATATTTCCATTTCTAACTACTCCATTCTAGAGAGGTTTCAGTTTCCAGCACAATGTGGCAGTTGGCTAGCCCTCAGAAGGCAGACACATTTGGAAGATACTAGGAGAAGCACTAACCTCCCGATCCTTCCCTCTTTGTACTTAGCCACAGGTAGTGCTTCCATGGGGCAGTCAAGAGTTTCTAACATAAGGTCAGTAATCAGCAGTAGCTGGGGAGACTATATAGCAGCTCTCAGGCTGGGCTAACCTCAGGAGGCTGTAATTACCCTCCCTTGAAATAACACTTAACTTCAGTTGCCAGTTCAGTGTCATGAATGATTCATGTTTGAAGTCAGTATGAGAACAAATTGCTGTATTGTAAAAACAATCATTTTGAACTGCATTCTTGGTATCAGGAAACAAGCAAACTCACACTTCAGTTATTTCACACACAAAAAAAAAAGGGGAGGGGGCAAAAAGCCTTTGCTTTGCATTAGTGTTCGAGGTGTATTCTCTGCCCTTTCAGAAGGGGGAAAAGGAGGAATCAAAAAAAGTTCTAGAGGACAATATTTCCTCCCTTAAGCTTTAAGGATATACTTCAGTTGACGTGAGCCAGTTAGGTCCCCTCCCTCTCTCAGGGCTTCCCCTACCTCTTTTCCCAGAATGGCCCAACCCATCATGCGCCTCACTGCAACTGCAGGCACTCATGAAACTCAATCTCATCAGGCATGCTGTGGATTTTCTGTGCAAACCTGTACAGGTGTTTGTTTTATAATTTGAATTTATTTTACAGAGCATGAACCCAGTGGTGTGTCACAAGATGAATATAAGAAAGAACAGATGAATCTCAAGAAGATGTTTTTATTACTTGATATCAAGAGAAAGGTAGTGCTCTAGTTTTCTTTCAGAGCACAACAGCACTTCATTTCAAACGTTCATTTTCAGTGGGCTGACATATCAAATTATATAATAGTCGTAAACAAGCTTTTTGTTTACTTGAAGCAAAATTTCACCCTTTGCATTATTACTGAAAATCTAGAATCACTTTAAGCTGCTGTGTTTCTCTTCTCCTAGCAATCTTTCTTTATCAAACACTTGAGTAAAGCTAAGGACAGAAAAAAAAAATCTCATTAGTCATGTTTTTGAGGAAAAAATGGTTTCAAAAAGTTGTAGCCATGTTAGAGTTGAACATGTTCACCAATGCTGCAGTCCTTGAATCTAGAGCAAGAACCAGTTGATCCAGTTATTCACTTAGAAGACGTATGGGCAAGAGAAGTCAATGTCGCTAACAGTGCGATATATCTCCACTTCTAGCAAATACTCCAGCTAAAAAGAAGCAGGCCTTTTAGGAAACATCCTCTTTTAACAGTAGCTGTTTGAGATCCTTGCAAAGTTTTGCAAGACAGTTGCACTCTGTATGAAGTAACTTTATAAACAAATTAATCTCATTCTCTGTAGGAAGTGGTGAACAAAATAATACAGCTATTGAACACCACAGAGCATACTCAGAGCGCTCTTATTAATGAGGAGCTGGTGGAGTGGAAACACAGGCAACAAACTGCATGTATTGGTGGCCCACCCAACGCCTGTCTTGACCAGCTACAGAGCTGGTAAGTCTCTAGCCAGCAGCTGCATTGAACAGGAGCTTAAAGTATGCTAAGAAGGAACACCAAATCTGCCAAATGTGCTGATTATTTGTATTGTGCTCGTCTGTTTTGTCATAGCATAACTTAAATTCACTGAAATTATTACCTCACCACATCTCTAATGAGCAAGAACTGTTCTCTGTGCACTGTGTAGTGCTTAAGGACAGTTGTCTCACCAGTGTACTAGCATTATTACAATACAAAAACATGGTAAAAATAGTAAGACTGTGTAATTTTAGGTTCACCGTTGTTGCTGAAAGTCTACAGCAAGTTCGTCAACAGCTAAAAAAGCTTGAGGAACTGGAGCAGAAATTTACCTATGACCCTGATCCCATCACAAAAAACAAACAAGTTCTGCAGGACCGAACGTACAGTCTTTTCAAACAACTGATCCAGAGGTAACAGACAAGAAGGATCATGTGGTCATTGTGCAAATGAATGCATGGAGAGCGCTCCTTCCCTTCTGTTTCTTCAAAATTTCAGCACACCAGCTTTGTGTTTTCTGAGGTTTTCTTTGGTTAGTCACAAAAACTCAGCTAAATGACCATTTTTTGAGATTTATCCTATAGGCTAGTAGAAGGGGTTCACAATCTATCATTTAAGCCAGTATGAGATCTGCTACAATATCCATTGACTGCAGGATCAGACTCGTAGTCTCTCAGTCCATTTCTTGCTTTTGCCCCAAACTTGCAAGGAAGCTCAAGTAAACGGAGACAGGAAACCATCTACACCAAGCAATGACCAAGATAAATATGCACTAGACTCTCTCTCCCTTTGTCTCTTGACCCATTCTCCTTGACTCCAGCATAGGGAGCCCAGCCCTACCTCTCTACAGGTGCTTTGATGCAAGATAGTCTAGCTGGTAGATGCCCCACTTAAGAGTCCCAGTCTTTAAATATACAGTAGGCAACAATTTGCGCTGCCAAAGGCTTGCAAACTAACAGACAAGTGAAGGGGCTTATCTATAATATGTAACCTTCTATGCGGGAACTAAAACCACTAAGAACTAAAACTTAGGTTTCTTAAGTCCTCTTCAAATGCTTTGAACTGGTCTTCAGTTGGAAGACACAGGTAGTTTTCAAAGCGAAGAGAAATAAGGAAGAGCTGTAGAAGTCCAGCTGCTGTTTAGTTATCTTGCCTGTGAGTACAGTGGAAGAAAAGTCTTGGTTCTGCCTAGGACTCGGTAAAAAAACAGGAATGCTTTAGGGTTTGTATCTACACAGTACAATGCTATGCAAGAGGTGCCCGAGCTAGCAAGAGTATTGAGGGCATCAGAATAGGTTAACCCCAGAAGTTCATGTCCCCTTGGGGATGGCTAGCCCTCCTCAAATACCCTGCTAACTCATCTAGGTCTGTGTTGCTTCAAAACACTCTTT